CGAGACACTCACAACGAGTCTCTTTTTTTTGAAATAACAACACTTGTTATTTGCTTTTGTTTTTGCAAAATGAAAGATGATGTGGAATATTTGTAAATTCTTTATTTTACATGAAAAAATGAATAAAATGAGACCAATAACGATCTTAACATCTTTATAACGTGTTATATGACGGACGCACGGTCATGTAAGGCGCATTTGTTACGAAAAACCACTATAACGAATGTTCATTAGTTATAAAACAACTATAACTAATGTATATTAGTTATAACTAATGAACATTCGTTATAGTGGTTTTTCGACCAAACCGCGCTTTCTTTACGTTTTTTTTTTCGTGTTACTTGATAACGCTTGTATGTTGATGTTACGTGTCATTGGAACGATAGTTTGAAGTTGTTAGAGCACCGAGACATTCACAACGAGTCTCTTTTTTTTGAAATAACAACACTTGTTATTTGCTTTTGTTTTTGCAAAATGAAAGATGATGTGGAATATTTGTAAATTCTTTATTTTACATGAAAAAATGAATAAAATGAGACCAATAACGATCTTAACATCTTTATAACGTGTTATATGACGGACGCACGGTCGTGTAAGGCGCATTTGTTACGAAAAATAACTATAACTAATGTACATTAGTTATAACTAGTGAACATTCGTTATAGTGGTTTTTCGACCAAACCGCGCTTTCTTTACATTTTTTTTTTTCGTGTTACTTGATAACGCTTGTATGTTGATGTTACGTGTCATTGGAACGATAGTTTGAAGTTGTTAGAGCGCCGAGACACTCACAACGAGTCTCTTTTCATTGAAATAACAACACTTGTTATTTGCTTTTGTGTTTGCAAAATGAAAGATGATGTGGAATATTTGTAAATTCTTTATTTTACATGAAAAAATGATCAAAATGAGACCAATAACGATCTTAACATCTTTATAACGTGTTATATGACGGACGCACGGTCGTGTAAGGCGCATTTGTTACGAAAAACAACTATAACTAATGTACATCAGTTATAACTAATGAACATTCGTTATAGTGGTTTTTCGACCAAACCGCGCTTTCTTTACGGTTTTTTTTTTCGTGTTACTTGATAACGCTTGTATGTTGATGTTACGTGTCATTGGAACGATAGTTTGAAGTTGTTAGAGCGCCGAGACACTCACAACGAGTCTCTTTTTTTTTAAATAACAACACTTGTTATTTGCTTTTGTTTTTGCAAAATGAAAGATGATGTGGAATATTTGTAAATTCTTTATTTTACATGAATAAATAAATAAAATGAGACCAATAACGATCTTAACATCTTTATAACGTGTTATATGACGGACGCACGGTCGTGTAAGGCGCATTTGTTACGAAAAACAACTATAACTAATGTACATCAGTTATAACTAATGAACATTCGTTATAGTGGTTTTTCGACCAAACCGCGCTTTCTTTACGGTTTTTTTTTTTGAAGACACAACTATAACATTTTTGTTGGTCATATATCACCATTTAACGTTAGTTTGGACCCGTTAGAGCGCCGAAATAATCATAAGAAACTCTTTTTGAAATAAAGTTTTTTTTTTGGTTTGTCGCGACCGCGATGGGTGTCGCTCCCGTGACGTCCTGAGAGGAAGTCTGTCCGGCTCGTGTGTCGCGTCCGCGAGATTCCCCGCGCCCGCGACGTCCTTGGAGCCTGTCTGTCCGCGTGTGTGTCGCGTCCGCGAGATACGCCGCGACCGGGATGTGCAAAAACTATATAAGGAGAAAAATCGTTTTTTTTCATTCTCCATTCCTCTTCATAAATTTGACCTAAGAAGAAGAAAAAAAAAACCTATCCGCCAACTTCCACATCCAGCCACCTACTCCGACCGGCGACAACACCACATCCGACCATCTACTTTGACCGGCGAGGACACTCCATCTTTCCGGCAACATAAATTCCGGCCAAGTTGTCTTCACAAAAGAGCCCTAATTCCCGATATCCCATTCCGGCAACGGCAAGGTTGTTTTCTCGACTTCACCGCACGGTAAGGTGTCACTCTAATTGCTTGAAGTGTATGGTTTTAATTTTTTGAGGTTTGAGGAATCTTCTAACTCTTTCTTTATTAACAATTCTCAAACACATATTTCCGCACACAAGGTGTTCGACAAATTGCCACAACTACGGAAGAGGGCTATATTGCTTTCATCCACTATTTTCCTTCGAGAGTATCTAATAACCAAGCATGGGTAAGGCATCGTCATCGAAAGGTCCCGCAAAAGGCAAAGCCGGAGGCAAAAGAAAAGCACTTGTAGAAACCCCGCCTCCTTCACCAGACTCGAACAATAGCAACTCGAACTCGGATACCGAAACTCAAACTTTGGCTCAAAACCACGGCATTCCATTCCCAGTTTTCTCTCAAGATGAGGTGCACACGTACAAACGACTCATGAAGATGAAATGCCGGATCCCACGGACACTTGATTGGGAGTTGCTAGACTCGCTAAAAATCTCGGAAGACGTAAGGAAATACTTGAAGGCCCTCAATCTTGAGAAGTACGAAGCCATGGACAATGTGGCATGCACGGAACTAGCGGTTGAATTCTTTACCACATTTGTACCACGCGACAACGGCAAGTTTTTCACTTGCCGGATGAAAGGTAATGAATACAAGGTTGATAACAAGGTGATGCATGAGGTATTTGGTTTCCGCATGTCGGGGTCTCGCAAAGTACCCGGTGATTTTGAGGTGGACAAGGCTTGGGCCGCTCTCTCTCCATGCGATAAATTCAAAGTCAAGGGCCCATCGAATGGGCTAATCAAAGATGTGGCCATTGCGGTTGTACATAAATTTCTATGCTACAATGTTTTTGGCAAGAAAGATTCCAACAAGGTTAGCGAGCAAGAAGTTTATTTATTGTGGGCAATGTGTACAAAGAAGCCCATATGCATGACTGCATTTGTTATGGAGACACTCCGGGGCACGAAAGTCTTTGCCACGCGCCCTCCGAGATTGGCCAATATCGTCACCGGGCTCGCTAAGCACTTCAATGTTCAAATTGATGAAGTGCCGCTTCAACCGAAGAAGATTGTGTTGTGGGATTTGGTGAAAGCGTATCTCGTTAAGGACAGCACCACGATCATTGATTTCAAACATCGTGAGTGCTACAAGGCATATTTGTCAGAGCTGAAGAAATCGTCCGGAGAAGGTGGTTCCTCGCAGCCACAGTCTCATTCCGAGGACGAGGCGGAGGAGGAAGAAACACATACAAACCCGGCAGACTATTTCCTCCCTCCAGCAGTTGACGCGGGCGCTGCGGACGCACGATCTCAACAAGCTCCCGCTTGGTTCGATAAATTCATTGAGCATAATGATAGGCGTTGGGAGGAGCACAACAAGAGGCTCGATACCTTTATTGAGCATAATGATAGGCGTTGGGAGGAGCACACCAAGAGGCTCGATGAACGTTGGACCCAATGGGAGTCTCGACAATTTGATCAGTGGAAACAATGGGGCGACCAGTTCCAGCAATGGGATGTTTGCTTGAGTTCAGGCAGCAGCCTACCCTACCCTCCACCTCCACCTCCACCTCCACCTCCACCTCCATCATCGGATGCACATGATGCACAGTGACAGTGCGTTGTTTTTAGGCAAAGACTTTTATTCCAGACTTCATAATTATCAGTTTTATCTTTTGGATTTGGTTTGGATTTGGTTCGTGTTTTAGAATCGACATTTGGTTTTGATTTGTGATTTCGTTTGTGTTTTGGAATCAACATTTGGATTTTCAGCGTTATTTCTTATATTGCAATGTAGATTTGATTTCCAGTTTTATATTATGTAATATGCAACGAGATTGAATTCGTTTTGATTAAATACGACCAAAAATGACACGACTATTGTCATTACCTATCCATTTTATAAAAGAAACACGTATTGTTATTTCAAAAAATGCAATATAACGAGAATGATTTCTTTATAATCGACGGAGGTCAAAATAACTATCACGACCAAGGTCGAAAATAACAAACACAACTTCTGCCAGGTCGTCGCGGGCGTGACACTTGTCGCGGGCGCGACACAAACGCGCACAGATCTGTTGCCAGGACGTCCCGGGCGCGACACATGTCGCGGGAGCGACACAGACGCTTACAGCTCTGTTGCCAGGTCCTCGCGGCGCGACGCGGGGCGCGGGCGCGACACTGACATGTTTCGGTTGGACAGAGAATGTTGCCTTCTCATCGCGGCCGCGACGAACGTCGCTCTCGCGACACTCAAGTTTTATTATTTTTTTTTTTAAACTAACGAATGTACATTAGTTATTTTATATAGTATAACTGATGTACAATCGTTATATTGAAAAAATTATGTCGCTGTCGGGACTCGTCTCACGGCCGCGACACTGGCCCTTTTTTGTCTTACAGAGAAGTTGGCCTCCATGTCGCGACAGCGACGGACGTCGCGTCCGGGACACTCAAGTTATATTTTTTTTACCATCTAACGAATGTACATTAGTTATTTTGTACAATATAACTAATGTACATACGTTATATTGAAAAGAATATTTGTCGCTCTCGCGACGCTTCTCACGAAAGCGACACTGGTCCTGTTTTTGTCGGACAGAGAACTTTGCCTCCATGTCGCGGCCGCGACAAACGTCGCTACCGCGACACTCAAGGTTTTTTTTTTTTTTTTTTTTTTTTCAAACTAACGAATGTACATTTGTTATTTTGTACATTTGTAATATTTGAAACGACTTGTAGTCGTTTCCTCGATTTATTTTTGGGAGCTCGGCATCGAACCCCTCGTCATTTATTACATTAAAGCTTATCGTTACATTAATATTTTTTAACCATTTTGATAAATTACTGTTATAACCACTGCATTGGGAAGTACGTAAAAAATACAACTTCAAAAATCGACCACCCTCATCAATCCTTATATTGAAAGACACATGAAAAATAATACAAAAATGTATTATCCAAAAGATCCTTACAACCCATTACATATTGACTGTTTAAAACAAACTATGGATCAAAATGACCACCAAATATTTCAGACGCTAGTTTAACACGCCAATCACTAATCCGAGATTGATCGACACCTTCAACATTTTTTCCAGCATGCAAAAATTCTATGAACTTGATAGTAAATATCCCACAATCAAACCTGCAACATAATTGTACAAATTCTATTACTTTACCAAGTTTCATAATACACTTAAAAACCTAATATGATCAAAATATATATTATACGTACCCATTGCTTTGGCTAGGAGATGTCAACCGTTTGTACTCAAACTTTTCACCACTGTAATTGGCATTCAGCTGCGCCAGTAGCATCGGTACAACAACTCGAATGGGCTCAAGTTGCCTCTCCAGTTCTGCCCTCCGCATGACACTTGTTTCGCTATCGTAGACGTAAATGCATCTCTGGGATAGATCAATCTCCAGTGCAATCCAGTGGCCACCGCCCTCTTTGCAGAAAGGAACATACAATTTCGTACAACCAGCCCACGGCTTTCCATTACTTGGTATCCCCCCTGCAGCGTAACTACGCAAGGCCTTCGGAAATTTTTTAGTCTTCGACATGTCTTTGAAGAAGTTTCTCACGTACGAGACAAAAAACGTGTCCAAGACAGCACAATCTTGTCTAAACAAGAGAGGGAACTGTTTACCACGCTCTCGAATGTGAAAAAGCGCTTCATCCACATGCTAAAAATATAATGTTTATTAGATTATTGAATATCATATTTTTCAAAGGTAAAAATATTAAAAAATTTTTTGTAAATAGTTTACCTCACTAGTAAGCCATCTATCGCTCACAAGTTGATTAAAAAAAACTTTACGTGCTCGACCACCACCAGAGGACAACTCAACTTCAGCACTACATAAAAAATTAATACGTTAAACAAAGACATACAACCTTATATATTACGATAAGTAGCCCACAGTTAACTTAACACAACTACATACCTTTCAGGGTAGCTCGACAACCACGTTTGGAGATCTTCAAGTTTAGCTGGATCCACTGGCCTATAAGGGTCGTACTCCGTCACAGTTGAAAATTTTTTCCTTTTTTCAATATTCCTCCACGGAGTACATAGAACGGCGGCCTTTCTTTTCTTCCGGTGCCCTCTCCCTTTAGGAGACTCAAGATCTTCAACGGTTTCCTCTATCTCGATTGGTGTCGGCGGTTGTCTCTCTTGGTACACAACAATGGTTGATGACGGGTCGGTCACAAAACCTACAATAAGCAAAAAAACAATCAATACTTATTTATTTACAAGAATGCACCATCAAATTACGTAGTAGCTACAATTATACTTTACATACCCGTATCAAATCCATGAAGTCCAGCCATTTCTTGCTCGGACATCGGAGATGGTGATTTCATCGTGTCTGCGAAATAGAAAAATAATTAAATAATTCAATAATATGTTGCATTTGTTTTAAAATATATTTTTTTCTACAAATAATATTACAATAATTTTTCCTATTTATTTTAACTAATAATCGAGTAATAACATTAACATGATGCATTGATTTAAATAAAATAACTTTACCACATTCAACGGTCTCCGTATCCCGCACATTTTTCTCCACCTCAACATCCGGATCATCATTTGGCACATCATAAGTAGCACGGCTAGATGGTTTATCTTTTGCTTAAAAAAACTCATTCTTCATTCTCTCAAACAAATTGTTCATCTCCTCCTTCACCACTTTTCTCACCTCGTCCTTCACCACTTTCCTCACTATATTTGTGATCTTTTCTTTATCCAAAACATGAGGTTGTGGTGCATCTTCAGGTTGAGACGCATTTTCTTCTTCTTCTTCTTCTTCTTCTTCTTCTTCTTNCGCATTTTCTTCTTCTTCTTCTTCTTTTCCTTCTTCTTCTTCTTCCTCATCATCCACATCATCATCATCATCATCAGCTTTAGAAGATGCACTGCCTTCTCCCTCATCTTTGGTTGCAGTGCCTTCTTCATCCTCATCATGACGGCCACTATCTTCTTCCTCGACAATTATACCCAATTCGTTGAAATACGAAGACTCACATTCATATGAAGAGGGTTCCAATGTTCGTCGAACTTGAATCTGCTTGTAATATAATTAGTTTTTTAAAAGTATAAGTATAACAATAAATAAGAAGAATAATCTATAGCAAAAATTACCTCCGCCCTCTCGAAAAAACTAGTAAGCAGCTCGCCTAGCAACTGTTTCTCCATTTTTCAACAGTACATTCTTGGAAGTTGGACACCAGTATTTATTTGGGCAAATTCTCTTCCTAAGTCGGGTAGCGCCTCAAATGCCCAAATCTGCTTAGCAAATAAGAGAGCATAATTAAAAATACAACTAACACAAATAAATAATAAAGAACATAAATATAGATTTAGATGAAAAGTACCATAATAGCCAAGGGAAATCCATGCAAAGAATAGTTTATGGACTCTGGATTTTTCCCTTCCCGAAAGAGGTCCGCTTGAACAACTTTACAGTCTGCTGATACGACAAGTTGCCCCAAGGATAACTGTTGAATTTTTTTAAATCTTCAACTAAATTAAACCATCTTTCGTCTACAAGAGTCTCGCACTCTGAAGACAAAACAACATGCTCCAAGACAATCACGAGTCCCAATTTGTACTTCGTCTCCGCGTCTTTCTTTTTATTCAGCGTAAGAAATTTCTCGAGTAAGTCACTGCGTTTGATCTTCCCCTTCTTCTTCTTGAACAGTTGCAAAAGCGAACTGTTATTTTTGGGGACCTCGTACGCATTTTCATCATCCGCCGCAATCTTAAATCCGGTTACAAGAGAAAACTCTTGTAACCCGAATCTAGCTTCTTTTTCCCCAAATCTGAACCACACGGCATCTTTGTCATTTTCGGATGCTTTCAATGTCCTACGAAGTACTTGGTGGACTATTTGGGAGGACAATATGATCTCGGTAATATTTATTAGTGGCAGGAAGCAAGACTCTGCAAATCGATCTTGATGTGAATCGTTTAGATTGTCAAATACTGTTCTGACAACTTTGAGGTTGCACCGATTGGTCACGTTTGCTTTGCATTTGGAAGGTATATCAAACGCATATTCCTTTTTGGTTCCTAAAAACAGAAAAGAAAGACAACATAAGTCATAATAGATCAAACAAGCAATAAGTACTTAAAATAGTGGCATAATCCTTTAATATAACCCAACTGGGTATTTTAGACTTGGAGTTCAAAACTGCATAAACCTATTCGTTATATGTATTGCGACACTACAACGACAGTGCATTCATTATATTGTAATATATAACTAAGGTGTAATCGTTTCTCTCCTCTCCCTACTACTTATGACTTCGCTTCGTTTTCCTATTCTAGCTGTCTTTCTGTAGTTCATTCGTTCAACTATCGCAAAGTGAAGTCAAGGTGTAATTGACCTCTCCCGTGTACACTAACTCCCGATCAATAGATATTTTTTTATGCGTTTGCCAGGCTCAGTGCAATTGACCTATCCATTTTGGCTAACAAAGTATTCCATCGACCGGGGATGAAAATAAAACAATATCGGGAGTACATTCGTTATAATCCATTACATAACGAAGGTACTTTTGTTGTTCATGTTAAATGGTACAAATCATACAAATACTCAAACTAAATATATTGATTGGTTCAAAGTATACAACAATTAGCATACCCAATTACTATCAACTCAATCTTTCAAGCATTTCATCAAACACCTATTACCATCTTCACTTTCATCAAAACTATCAAAATAATATGAATTCACATAACACAATAAAAACCTTGCTCCACGAATATCAAATTCCCAAACAAAAGGAAATTNGACAAAAACCAAAAAAAACGAACCTGTATCGATTTTGACGGGAAGAGCGAGCTCCATAGAGATTGGGCGCCAGAGACAACGAGAGAGGAGGTCGTGGGAGAATAAGGAAGAAGGAAAAATGAAAATGGAAGAATGAAAGGTTGGGGAGAGACGAAAGAAGAGAGGGTGAGAGAGAGGGTGAGCCGGCGAGAGTTACAGAAGAGTGAAGGAGAAAGAGGAAATTTGGGAGAAGATGTTATGTTAAATTGTCGAGAAGAAGAAGGTTGAAGGTTGGAGAGAGACAAAAATTAAAAAGGGTACATAAGTATTTTCCCATTTTATGGAGTTTTTACTTAATTTTTTTATAGTTGTGTAGGTCAAGGGTCATTTGAACAATTTTATGTTTTGAGGAGGTTATTCCAACGAATTCCCACCACATAGGTCGTTATCGGAACTCATGGTCGTTGGCGGCGAGCTCATGGTCAAAGGCGGCGACGGCGGCGGGGGCTGGTGGTGCAACGGTGGGAGAGAGCACAGATGCCGTCGAGAGATGTTGGGATGGAGACGATGATGTTTTAGTGTGTGCGTGTGTGAGAGAGAGAGAGATGAGACAAAAGAGGTGGGGAGGGTTAGTGGTGGGATCCATATGTAGCTAATGACAATATTGCCCTTATTGTGTGGTCAAATATATACGTTTGATCATAATATATGCAATTAATTATGAGATTGCCATGCATGTTTGACTGTCATTTATTAAATTTTGACTTAATCATGACCGTTAACTTGATAGATCTAATGGCACAAATCTATTCCTATTTCTTTCACTATCTACCATTCTCATATGATCACAACTATATATATATAGGGTCACGCACCGGTAAGAATGGTTCTCAGTGAAAGAAATAAGAATAAATCATAGCCATTCGATCGGATGATCTAACGGCTATAAAAAAGACAAAATATTATACCCATTAAGGGTATTTTAGACATTACCAATACCATCCACTTATCCAACTCATTAGTGGGTCCATGACACATCATCACCACACACACAAAACACACGCCACGCACACATAAAACACACGCCACACAACACACGCACACACACACACACACACACAATACATACAAACAATTTATATACACGACACACACACACACACACACACATTACCAGTCGCCGCCCTACCCAACCATCGCCGCCGCAGCACGCCACCGCCGGTCGCCGGAGCCCACTGTAACGCCGGTCGCCGGAGCCTTGTGTAACGCCGCCGCCGAAGCACGCTGAAACGAACAGGACGGCCGCGGCACCACCATCCCACAGATCGACCTCCATCATCCGCCGATGACTTCAATCTCTCCATCGCCGTTCTGCTCGACGCCGCCGACTGTCACTCCAAACGCCACCGTCTGGTCCGGCACTGGAGCTCTAGTCGTCGTCGTCCTCCGTCCGTCGGGAACTGACCGTGACGTCTCTGTCACTTCCTCCGCCACAGAACTCCGTCGTCTGCAAGTGTAGAGTGTGAAGACGCCTCCGGCCCGCCACATTCACCATCGTGGTCGTCATTCCTTCCCGTCGCCGTTGCCGTCGCCATTCGTCCGTCATCCACCATCGGAGAAGAGGTCACCGGCGGCAAGTATAGGGGGCTGAGGTGGCAGAGAGAACATGATTTGATATTGAAATTGGGGGGTTTGTTTTTTAGAATTTGATATCTTATAGGGGCTTGATTGCAATTTTCATAGATTTCAATAAATTACAATTTAGTTCATAGGTTGAATTTGTAGTTATTAGAAATTTGTAAATCTAATATTGTAAATTTAATAAATTTTATTATATTTCAATTTAACACTTGTGTCAAATTTGTAGTTTACAAAAAGTATATAACAGTATGGGAGCTTTCTTTAAAAATCCCCAATCCTAATTCTAACTTCCAAGTCAGTCTCTAGTACTTTTAAATCCCTCCTATTAAATTAAATCACAAAGAAATTGTTATATGACATCATCCCACTATCTTCCATTATTTTATTCTTTTTGTTTACCTATTCTTTCTTCCCTATTCTTCTCATTCTCCTGTGTTTTTCTTCTTCATCGCTGCTCTTTATTTTTATTTTTTTTTTGCAGCTTCATCTTGCTGGCGATTACAAATCGGACCCTGGGGCTTTTATCGGAGGCAAAAAATCCGGCGACCTTAGGGCTTTTTCTGGCCGAAAATCCCTGTTTCTCCGGCCAAAAATTGTACTTCTCTGTCCAAAAATTCCTTTTTTTCCGGCAACATTGTGGCTTTTTCCACCAAAAACTTGAATTAATAAGTAATATATGTATTATATGAGAATTTTGGAGTCCAAAAATCATCTTTAATTCATATATTATTGTTTAATTTGTGAAGGATTGAATTTTGAATATTGCTATTTATATTTACCCTAAAACAAAAAAGTGATCATAATCCTTTTTTTTGTTCATGTATACTAAATTTATGCTATTGTTAGGTAATGTTAGGTCTTATTGACCATAAAACAAAAAAATAAGATGAGAATAATCATAGTACCAGTATTCATGATTGTGTGTACCTCTGTTTGGATATATAGTACCACTTTACTTACTGTTGGTACCATCTGTGCTGGGAAATGTGAACATCTTTTTTTTCTAATCCAATTATTGTTAGATACATGGAAGGGACACAAAAATTCCTATCTCTATGTCCGAAAATTCATATTTTTCCGGCAAGATTGTGACTTTTTCCGGCGAAAACTTGAAGTAGTAAGTAATGTATGTATTTTTATGAGAAGTTTGGAGTCTCAAAATCATCTTTAATTCATATATTTTTGTTTGATTTGTGAAGGATTGAATTTTGAATATTGTTGTTTATATTTACCCTAAAACAAATAAAGTGATCACAATCTTTTTTTTGTTCATGTATACTAAATTTATGCTATTGTTAGGTTATGTTAGGTGTTATTCACCATGAAACAAAAATATAAGATGAGAATAATCATAGTATCAGTATTCATGATTTTGTGTACCTCTGTTTGGATATATAGTACCACTTTGCTCACTGTTGGTACCATCTGTGCTGGAAAATGTGAACTTGCTTTTTTTTTTTTTAATCCAATTATTGTTAGATACATGGAAGGAGCACAAAAATTCCTATCTCTATGTCCGAAAATTCATATTTTTCCAGCAAGATTGTGATTTTTTCTGGCGAAAACTTGAAGTAGTAAGTAATGTATGTATTATATGAGAAGTTTGGTGTGTCAAAATCATCTTTAATTCATATATTTTTGTTTGATTTGTGAAGGATTGAATTTTGAATATTGTTGTTTATATTTACCCTAAAACAAATAAAGTGATCAGTGGCAAGATAAATCGATCGATTCTAGGAGATTCTCCATCAAAGGAGAGGGGCAAATGTTCAGTGGCGGCGCGGATGAATTTCGGAAGGTTGTTAAAAACTACGCAATTGCGAAGGCGTTCTTTCAAGTACCGAAAAAATGATCAACAGAAGATCATTGTTTGTTGTACTGATGAGGGTTGTCAATGGAGGATATATGCCTCAAAATACAAAGGTGATCAGGTCTTTGCCATCCGGAAGAGCAATTTAGTCTATACCTGTGCAGTGTCCAATCATTTATTTTTTTAAAAAAAAAACAAATAAATATTATGATAGGATATCAACCAATTTAATGTGTGATATATCATGTTTATCAGTTTCATATATGGAATGTGTCGCCTAAATGATTTTAATTGCAATAAATATGGAATGTCGCGGTTGTGGATATATTAAGGGATGATTTTTATTTATATTGAAAATAAAAGACAAATTTGTTTCCATAAAATGAAAATTACCTAAAAATAAAATCAAAATATTTCTAAATTTTAAAACTAAAGCTCTATTTAGTTCATGACCACTTGTCGAGTAAACTTAATCAAACATATTCAAATACTCACAGAAAATAATGTATAAGTGATTTTGAGTAATATAAACATCATTTAAGACCGAAATTCAATATACTTTTATGTCATTGGAATTGGTACTGAAGACGCGATATTGAGTACTAAACAACCATTTAAATTGTGCAAAATTATATAGAATATGTCTATTTAAAATTAGTACACAACTCGTACGGTGTACATAACTGATAATAATTACATTATTATTTTTCAAAACAAGTGTCATTTTAAAACTTTTTATTGAAAAATATTCAATTTGAATACAATGTCGTTCCATTAAATAAATATTTTTGTAAACTTTTTATCATATATTTAAGAATATATGTGAATAATAAGTATAATATTACTGAACTATATTTTTATTATATTTGTTATAAAATAATTTATGTTGTATTCATATCTTCGAAATTAGTTTTTTACAAATGTAGTTTTATTTATAACGATAGAGGTAATTGTTTTTATTTTATATATGCAATATGGATTTCAATCGAAGATTCTTAAAATATGGTTATTTTGAGATATAATAAACAAAAAATAAAATAAAAATAAAAAAGTTATATTGATGTAAAAATAAAAGAATACATATTTATAACAATTATTATATGAAATGATGAAGGGTGTCATTCAATTAAATGAAGTGTTTTAGTAGTGTTTTCTCATTAGTGTGCCAAGTTCATGACCATTTTATGATTAAACTCAATTAAAAACATTTTAAATCTCATATAAACTAATGTGAGAGTGATTATGGGTCATATAAATATTATTTGAGACCGAAATTTGGTGTTTTTATGTGTTCATTACAAGTGTTACTGAAGTCCCAATATCAGGTATTACAGAAAGATAAAACTGGTACTATCTAACTCTATGTCTGGTGCTACTTTTTGTAGATGTTGAACAAAATTGAAATAATCCATTTTCGTTCTCAAAAGTACGTACTAATTGATCAAAAACAGGTACTAGGTAGAAGAAGATGCGTTACTATTTTGGCTAAAACAGGTACTATTTTAAGAATGGTGATTTCTCTAATCCTTCATGTCTACTATGACACGTGGATCGTTCACACGTGATTTGGATGAAAAATAGTAGAAATTAAAATATATAGGTAGAATTTGGAGTAGTCATGTATGATGATTCTATGAGATGAAGTGTGTCATTCAATGAAATGAAGTGTATTAGTAGTGTTTCTCATTAGTGTGTCGAGTTCATAACCAATTTGCGTAAACTCAATTAGAAACATTTTAAATCTCATATAAACTAATGTGAGAGTGATTATGGGTCATGTAAACATCATTCGAGGCCGAAATTCGGTGTTTTTATGTGTTCATTACAAGTAGTACTAAAGACCCAATATCAGGTACTACTGCAATACAAAAATGGTACTATCCTCCTCTAGGTCCAGTACTATTTTTTGTAAATGTTGAGTAAAACTAAAATAATCAATTTTCTTTCACAAAAGTAGGTACTAATCGCTCAAAAACTGGTACTATGTAGAACAATATGTGGTACTATTATGGCGAAAACAGGTACTAGTTTAGGAATCGTAATTTTTTTAATCTTTCATGTCTACCTTTTCACGTGGATCGTTATAACTTGATTTGGATGAAAAATAATTGTAGTTAAAACAAATATGTAGAATTTGGAGAAGTCATGTGTGATGATTCTATGAGATGAAGTGTGTCATTTAATGAAATGAAGTGTATTAGTAGTGTTTTCTCATTAGTGTGTCGAGTTCATGACCATTTTAGGATTAAACTCAACTAAAAACATTTTAAATCTCATATAAACCAATGTGAGAGTGATTATGGGTCATGTAAACATCATTCGAGGCCGAAATTCGGTGTTTTTATGTGTTCATTACAAGTAGTATTAAAGACCCAATATCAGGTACTACTGCAATACAAAAGTGGTACTATCTTACTCTAGGTCTGGTACCAATTATTGCAAATATTGACCACAATTGAATAATCAATTTTCGTTGACCAAAAGTTGGTACTAATCGATCAAAAACTGGTACCACGTAGAAGAAGATGTGGTACTATATTGACTAAAACAGGTACTATTTTAAGAATCATGATTTCTCTAATTCTTAATGTCTACCATGACACGTGGATCGTTCACGCGTGATTTTGGATGAAAAACAGTGGAAGTTAAAACATACAGGCAGAAATGAAGTAGTCATGTATAATGATTCTATGAGATGAAATGTGTCATTCAATGAAGTGAAGTAGTAGTAGCATTTTCTCATTAGTGTGTCGAGTTCATGACCATTTTACAATTAAACTCAATGAAAAACATTTTAAATCTCCTATAAACTAATATGAGAGTGATTATGGGTCGTTTAAACATCATTTGCGACCGAAATTCGGTGTTTCTATGTGTTCATTACAAGTGGTAGTAAAGACTCGATATGTGGTACTAAAGCACCATAAAGTGGTACTACCTTACTCTAGGTATGGTACTACTTTTTTTAAATGTTGACCACAATTGAAATAATCCATCTTGGTTGACCAAAAGTAGGTATTAATTGATCAATAACAGGTACTGCATAGAAGAATAACAGGTACTATTTCAATCAAAACTGGTACTAGTTTAGCAATCGTGATTTCTTTAATCCTCCACGTCTACCATGCCACGTGGATCGTTCACGCGTGATTTGGTTGAGAAATATTTGAAGTTAAAACATATATGTAGAATTTGGAGTAATCATGTATGATCATTCAATGAGATGAAGTGTGTCTTTTAATGAGATGAAGAGTAGTGTTGTTTTTTCATTAATGTGTTGAGTTCATGACCAATTTGCAATTAAACTTAATTAAACACATTTTAAATCTCATAGAAACTAATGTGAGAGTGATTATTGGTCATGTAAGCATCATTTGAGACAGAAATTTGATTTTCTTTTTATATTCATCGGAGTTGGTACTAAAGACCTGATATCTGCTACTAAAACACCATAAAGTTGGTACTATCTTACGCTAGGTGTTGTACTAATTTTGAAAATGTTGGCCAAAAGTGAAGTAATCCATTTTTTGTTCTTTCTACAAAATAGGTACTAATTCATCAAGAATTGGTATTGCATAGAAGAAGAAGTGGTACCATTATAGGTAAAACTGGTACTATCATACGTATATCTGGTACCGGTTTTAAGACAAACAGGTACAATATTGCTAATCACGAATTTTTATTGGTCACGATAAAACGAGTACTACTATAGGAGATAAGGATGATACTTACATGAAGGAAAACCGGTATCACTTTATAAAACATAAATTCATTATATCCACCACGTCATTTTTATGAGCTCTACCTCAATTAACATGCATTCTACCTCAATTTATGCGCTCTCCCAGTTAAAAGGAAATATAAAAAGATTTGCGTTCACATTCACTCAAAAGTCAGTTAATGTTGTGCTTCAAACTCAAACAATAAACAGAAAACAATAAGAGCCATTTTCTTCTTCAGACCCCAAAAATGCAGATAAACCTTGCATCCTCCACAAGCAATCAAAAACCCCATAAATCAAATTATAATTTGCACTGCATTTTATATTACTTACCAAACTTCTTTTCCCCCCACTCAAAATTGAAGCTTTGGCTGAAATCCAATGGATATGGAAACAACCATGGCAGATTCCCTTCGATTCGGTAAACCAAAAGCTCGGATTTCGCCTCTGGGAAACTCACAGGCTTAACCATGACGAAAGACAAAGGTTAGCCTAAAATGGAGCAATTTCCCCATTGATTAATTTTCATGCTCGCATCGTGGGATTATGAATCCATTGAAGCTGCTCTCTTAGCTCTGTTCAATCTTTTGCCTTTAGCAGTGAAAGGTTGGTAATTTGGTATTGGATCATAGATCATCATACAAATACTACTTATAAAATTCATTCATCAAAAGAAAAGAAAAGGAAAGATTGATGATAACCTAAAATTTTGCAGGAACAAAATCATCATGGTGAAATACTGAAGGTAATTTTTTGAATCTAAGCATAATCACAACAATAAAAAAAACACATATTTATTTATTCATTTTCCTTTGTATTATGCCAATTTCATCACTCATCTCCTTGCTTGAGAAAAAAAAATCACCAAATCAACAGCAACAATTTACACTGGCCCTCAATAAATGGAAATAAAATACTAGAAAAAATCGTAGTAATTACCGAATGGCTTCACGTCAACACGGCGGGCCATTGACACCGTGGGCCCAGGTCCTCCCGCCTCCTAGCCCATCACCAACCGCAATGGCACCTCCGGAGGGCTCACGCACCTTATCAAAGCCCAATTCACGCTCTGAAAAAACGGGTGCTGCTTGATCTCGGTTGCCCCACGTCTATACGCCAGCCTGTTCAATGGCTCCTTAACGAGCAGCCCCCGAATAAGATCCCGGGAAGCAAAACTAACCGTGGCATTCGCCGGAAACTTCAGCGGCTGCCCGACCACATTGAAAAGGGTCGCCCGGTTACCCGACCCCTTAAACGGAATCCACCCAAACAGCAGCTCGTAAAAAAAAAAATCCCCAAAGTCCACCGGTCGACTGCACTTACGTGGCCTTCTCCTTTGATGATCTCGGGCACCAAATACACTTGAGTCCCCACAATTAAAAAAAAAAAGTTAAACTCTAGCATAATTCGTGTGTGTGACTTTGAGTAGAAAAATAAAATACACCAAAATAATCTACTAGACTGCATAGGATCATGACGAGACAAGGCCAGATACCAACATATTTTTCTCAACACCTGAAGCATATGATGAAAAATAATTCATAATTCAATGGAGACAAAAGAAAGAAAACTGAGCAAGCGAGGCAAATATATTCCCTATACTAACTATACTAATATTTGGAAGTAATGACAAACACAATATAGATGATATACCGGTGTCCACTGGGCAGAGTCTTCTTTCACAGAAGGAATCTCATATATTGAGATTGATGAATAAAAGCTTTGTTTTTTGTTCATAAATTTAGTATGTTTAGTTGGGCTCTTTTTCAGTTATTAAATTTTTCATTTTGTCTTAAGCAGAAGTAAGAAACAGAAACTATTATGGTGAACGGTTTAGGATCTGTGTTGGGGGGTTTTAGAGGTTCGAGCTCTGAACCTCATCAAGCTTAATAATTCGTGTTAAGAACTTGTTCAAAACACCCAAGTTACATACACAGCTGAAAAANACCATGAAAGTTGGAACAATTAACATCTAGGGTTTCACCCAAAAACTATCACAGTTGATTTAGGTTCGATAAATACCTCAATCGTTGAATAAATTAAAATCATCCCCAAATTTATCAATCTAGAAACACCAATTTCTCGACGCCTTCGACCGCGATCCCCGTTCTTTTCACGGATGCGAAAAAGGGGCCCAACATCTTGCGGTAGTGGATGGGCCTCGCGAGCTCTTCCTGGACGTCGATTCGAACGCCCGAGATCCCGACTTTCTGGAGGCGGTTTCACAGAGAGAAAGAGGGAAACGGGAATTGAGAGAGCGATTAAGAGAGAGAGAGAGAGAGCTTTCCAAATTTTTTCTATTTTTAGGATTTTGAAGCAAAATAAATGAATAATAATAATAATAATATATATATATAGAGAGTGAAATGAAAAGAGAAAATTAGTGAAAGGGAGTGCAGAGGGAAAAAATTAAGAGGGGGACTAATTTGGAAGATGAAAAGGGGAGTAGGGATTTAAGTTGAATTTTTCGTTATTTTTATATATATTTTAAAATCATAAAATAATAGAAAAATATTAAATACAAATAAGATAAAATATTCATATATTATTGCACATGTTGCACATTAACATAATAAATGCACGATCATGATAATTAGATTAATAATATAAAATACTAAATACAAAATTATAAATACTAAATATATTTTTACGATATAAGAAAATTGATAAATGCAAAAAATAATGATAATTGAAATACACATTATTGAAGTTTATGAATTTGAATAAAAAATACTCGATCTGTCGATTGCACAATAATGTTAGACGAATTGCACATTATTGTTTGCTCGATTGCACTTTATAGATTTTGATATCTTTTATATTATATTTTGAACTATAAATATTATAAATTATTAAATATACATATTAAAATATAAAATGTATTTTATAATATACATAGTAATATAAAAATATTTTGTAATAATAAATAAATTATAATAAAAATAATAAATAAAAAGCTATTCTAATTATTTAGGTTATTCAATGTACAATTATACACATGATTTATAAATTATACAGTGCACTTTATATCAAGGAATGTCGCACTGTATAAAACAATACGTTGCACTTTATCACATCGTCTATCTAAAAAAACACAAACATGCTAACGTACCAAAAACAATATGTTGCACTTTATACAATAATACGTTGCACCTTATAACACAACATGTTGCACCGTATACAGTAATACGTTGCAATATAGCGATCAAAACAGTCCAAATTAAAATTCTCAATTAATTGCAAATATTACCCATGAACTTAATTGTAATAAAATAAAAATTTTTACAATTGCAGATAGGCCCTTATATGATATCTAATTTTCAATACAACAACCTCAAATACACCAACATTTTCTGGCCGCCCCCCCGCCGTTTAAGCTGCCGCCACCGGCAACTGTGAACAGCCCTGCCGTCGGATGACACGTCATCACTTCGCTGCTCCGGTGTAACAACAATGGAAGAATTGTACAAAGTCTCGTCGGCTATTCATTCTCGGCGGAGGTTCTCGAATCGTGGCCACCTGACGGCGTCCGGTGAATCGACGGCGAACTTAGCTTTCTGATGCGACTGAACGTGGGAGACGGCGGATCTGTGTCGGGCTTTTGATGACCGGCTGTGGGAGAGACGCCATCACCGGTGGATCAGTGAAGTGCTGTCAGGGACCGGTCGTGGCGGAGACGACGTCTCCGGCGGATCTGTGCCGTGATGTTGGAGACCTGGCGGCGAGACGACGAGGGCCAGTGACGGCGGTGGAAATCCGGCGCGATTTTTCGGCGAGAGGTTGCTTTAGTAACATAGAGATGGGGAACGATTTGGTTTTGTCCGGCAGAGGTCAGTGATGTCAAGAGGCTAATCGGTTGCGGGCGCTGCAGTCCGGCGAGTGTGTGTGTGTGTTGAAGATGACGAGGGAGGGAGTGGGTGGGATGGCAAGATTTTATGAGGTGTCATTAATTGTGTAGTGGTAGGTCCCACCAGTTGTTTGGATTGAATTAAATGTCCCTACTACCCTTAATTATTGGTCAAATACACATATTTGACCACAATATTATCCAATAATTATCAAATTGCCATTAATGATTAACCAGGTTTGACTTCATCATAACCATTGATATGAATGATCCCATGGTCAAGGCTTATTCTTATTTCTCTCATTATCTACCATTATCATGTGATCCCATCTCTCTCTCTCTCTCTCTCTATATATATATATATAAATAGGGTTGAGTTCAAGTGAGAAAGGTGTTCGGTGAAATAAATAAGAATAAATCTTAGCCATCGGATTAAATGATCCAACGGTTAAAAAATCCAGCATTTATATATTCATTAAGAGTATTTTAGAAATTTTCCTTATCAAATGAGGCCTACATAAACTACCCACTGACCCACATCCACTAGCTCCATGCCACGTAGACTATGTGCCACATAGACATAACACACGCACACATTCCTACACACAACACACACATCTCTACACACACCACACACACGTCATACACAACTTACACATGCCACACGAATAACACAGCCGGAGGCCTGGAACCACCAGCTGCCTGACCTTCGCCGCCGCCTCCTTCCACCACCGACACCTTCCGCCGCCGACGACGTACATCTGGTTACATTCACCGCCACCGCCGCCGCACATCCACCGAGCTGGATCAGAAAATCAAAAATCCGATTGGGGTGGAGAATCAGATATCGGGATGCTGCTGAGATCGGGAATCGGGCAGTGGCACGTCTAGCCGACTTCATCATTTAATATTTTCATTGTCCTCGGTGCTCACAAATTTCCAGATTCCGAGTTCCAACCCGCAGAGACCGCAGATTTCTCAATGCTGTCTATTTCACTAGACTAGTCGCCATCTCGCCGAACACCGCTACCACACATTGACACTTCACCATAATAATCAACATCTTACTCCGGCGGTCTGTGGAACACGAACGGATCCGATTGATGGACTGGATTAGATGGGGATATTAAGGAGAATCTGACAACTTCTAAGGACATGATTGCAAATTTTAGAATTTTTAATATATTTCAATTTAGGTCATGGGTCAAAATTATAATTTATAACTTTTAAGGACTTGATTGCAAATTTTAGAATTTTTAATATATTTCAATTTAGATCATGGGTCAATTATCAAAATTTAATAAATGCACAATAATTATAAGTAAAATGCAGAATATGTGTAAGAATGCATAATGCACAATAGTAGTAACCTAATTGCACCTTAATGACTTTGACAATGCACATTAACCTGATATTATTCGCACTATGACTCCGCATAAAAAATCAATAATACATTTTTACACTATTGTGCATTTTTTAAGGCGTTAATGCGCATTCCGTTTGTTGCTATTGCGCATTATGTAGAGCANTTTATTTCAATTAATTGGGTTAATGCAATTAATAGACCGAATAATTTGGTTATTTTGGCTCGATTTTTGATTTGTGACAAAACTCAGTCCGTTCGGTTTTTTTTTTTCCATAGCTTCCACTCAACTAATCGGTTTTGACATTTCGTTCAATCGGATGGTTTGACCGAACCGTCGAATGAACGACCCTAAGCGTAATGGCGATTTGGTATATTTGTGAACATTTTAATGTGAGTCGGTGACGATTCTATAATTTCTTACAAGTATGACGAGTTTATTTATGTGCATGACCTAACGTAGAAATTTGTGAAATTTAGACTGTGTATGTGGTGACACTTCTATAATTTCATATAAAATACGATGATATTTCTAAAGTGCATATGTACTCACACTATTATGCAATTTACTTATCAATATTGTGCATTTATTAAAATTATAATAACTACGTATAAAAAAAAATACTTGTATTTTAATGTGCAAATTACTCATCAATATGATGCATTTATTAAATTTTAATAATTTATAAATTTAACCCATGTACTAAATTGAAATATAGTTAAGTATTTTAATTTGCATAAAAGTCCTTTAGCCTTATCTAATTTTTAAAATGGAGCACCTCATCCCCTCAACACCTCTCCACTACCAATAGTGATTCCTGCCGCCGCAGCATAGGGTCTGCCACTGCCATCGCCACCGGAGCACCCTGTTCCCACCGTCGGAGTCCCATGTTCCACCGTCATCGTAGCCCACTACACAACACAACTTCACTCCTGCTACTCCGCCAGACTCCCACCGCTGTCGTCACTGTCTCTGCACAAGTCTAGAAACACCGTTGTACCTTGCACTAGGAGTATCACACCACCACTCAGACCATTAATGTCCCGTCACCTCTACCACCTTCGTGACGAGCACATGGAGGAGGTCCACCACCTCCGACGCGGGTGCTAGCCGTCAAGCTTTAAAGACAACCGTCGGGTGCCGATGACAACGCAGACGCTGATCTTCTCGGTTGTCCACCAAGGAAACTTACAGTGTCAGAATCGGAGCACTTCGCCACCGCGGGCAGGAGTCGGCTACGACTTGACCGACGATTATCGAGGCAGTGACGATGTTGACGGCCGAGCAGCA